CTGGTGCATCTGAACAATTCATTTTCGTAACGGTAGTTTAAGCGATTGACGAAGAAACAATCGGAGAAGAAAAACTGAAAGGGAAATGAAATCACACAGCGGAGTACATTCATATATAGGAGGATGAAGAACCCGTTATAGGAAGAAGATTCGTATTTTCCCAAGTGAATGTGATTTGAGTGGAAGAATCCAGATACGAATCTCCAGAACGGGAACCGTCGTTTGTCGGCAAAGCTTAAGGCGGCGATTATGAAACTCTAGCAGCTATGTGGACCATCAATCTAACAATCCTGGCCTGGTAAAACACTAACCCAAACGAAAACGTAAAGATATGAAGCCTGGTGTCGAATTAATTTTTTTTTAAAACCATGTGGCTCACAGAAATTGGACACGTGGATATGCTAAATGGGATAGAAACCTATCTGGGCTGGAATCTATATAAGCCCACCAAAAAATAAGAAAGCTAGGGGGATTCAAACCCCTATACTAGCGGAGATAAGCTGTACTTAGGATGCTTATACCACTGGGCCAAATCATCTTAGTTGTTAATAGCCAGCGTGTATAAAACAATTAAAAACGCAATTACCCGCATTTGCAAACTCATATCCACACTTGCATATGTTGCGTTTAACCGTGAAACCCTAAATAATCTTAACCATAGTAGTAACTGTAACGATTATCATACCTAAGCGGATCCGGTGCTATCCGTCTCAAAACGGGGAGGCAAAATTATACGAAAAAGAAAAGATTTGTTTGCCCGATTACATTTGCTTCGACCATGTGGTTCTACTTTATGAAGAAAAGTTAGGGCATGGGGCACTCTATATAATGTTTGCTCTTTTATTTCGGATTTTGTTTACTCTACTTTTTTGTAAATCAGGAGATACGGATAATATCGTTCATATGGCGTAAAGCATTTCTCCCCAGCGGGAATCTAACTAGGGGTACAATGAAACCTACTCCAAGTCCAACAGCATTAGCCAACACACCGTTGGTTGTTTTCTTTTATGGAGAAAAGGTTTTAAACCATGATAACTCATGAGAACAGAACCGTTTTGTCGTATGAGAAAGTAAGTTCATCTGAAAAAGGTTCATCCGAAATAAAAGGAAAAATAGTGCTTAAAGAAAATTCCACGAGATACTCTTATTGAACTAAGTTAGAGCATTCGGAATCCTTAATGGAGAGTCATTACAGAAAAATAATTAAATAATCAATAAACCTCACAAAATGTTAAGGATTCAATCCTTAAATTTTTTAAATAAGGACTCTTTCTTAGTGAATCCTTGCATCATTTGCGGGTCCTCACGATACGTGGCGATCCGCGATTGATTGGTAGTTTTTTTTTAAGCTGAAAAAAAATTTTAAACACACTTTTTCTAAGGACTCCAACAAGGTATCATCGTTGGAGATAGGGGTGGGCACAAGCCAAGTACTTGCCATTTTGGGTGTACTTGATACTTGGCTTGGTTTGTTCGAGTAATAAAATTTTGGACTTGTACTTGGTTTATTATAAACGAATACTTGCACTTTCAAGTACTTGCTAAAATATGGTATACTTGCAAGTACTTGCTCCGGTTTACTACTTGTTTGCTTTTGAACTAATTTATTTAATAATTGTTTAATAATTTTTACTACTTAAACCTTGTATATGAATTTTATTTAATAGTAATTTATTAATTTTTGCTACTTAAACCTTGTATATGAATTTTTAAAAAACTTAGCTAGTTATATTTATAATCTAAATAATTTTTAATAAAGAATACTTATTTATTTTTCATATGTTTTAAATCGATATATGATAAATATAAAATTAAAAAAAAACTCTAAAATATTTCTATAATATATCACTTTTAATTCATTTACTTTAGAAACAAGTAATTTGGTTATAATTTAGAGATTTTTATGCTTAAAAGTAAAAAACGGGTAATAAATCACGAGTAACAAGCCAACAACGCCAAATAGTTACTTTTATTTTAGTACTTGATACTTGTCTTGTACTTGCAAGTAATTGAAATAAACGACTTGATACTCGACTTAAACAAAACGAGTACTCGACTTTAAGAACCAAGTACGAATCAAGTAGCGAGTACAAGCTGAGTAACAAGTAATTGTGCCCACCCCTAGTTGGAGATGCTCTTATATACATGAGTAATGTATTTAGTCGGAAAACATGATAAAAGAGTTATTTTCTAAATTTGTTTTACTTTTGGTTGACAAACTTGTGGATATCAAGTGATAGGCTGTTAAGTTGAACGAGCTAAAGGTAAGAGTCCACAATTTTCTTTTAATTTGTTCGATTATTTTCTATTCTATTGTGCATCGGAGTGAAATACTGTTTTGTATTAGCAAACCAAAATTACAACATACAGTACCAGATCTCGGTATTATTTATTGGAAACAAGCATAAGAAAGGGGGAAAACAAGCGAGTATGTCCAAAAAAACTCTCATATAAATGCTTGAAAACATATTTTCCACTCACCGACTTGACTAAGCAGAGTCCAATGTGGAATCCGACATAGGTACAACGAAGTCAACACACATTCTTTCTAGTAGCTTTTCATTATAGTCAGAAGAGTTGACGAGATCGTCCTCAAGCAAAGATACGACATATTTGAAGTCATCCTTCAGAGAGTTTAAAAAGAGATCGTCAGTCGAAAGACTCGAAATCCATGTTAATGAAACCTAAATGGTCCTAGTGGTCTTTCGATGCGATTTCAATTATTACTGACTAGGAGTCTAGAATTTAGTAACAATCACAGTATTACTTAAAACAAATACATAACTTTTTTACAAAATGTGTTACCAAAAAAAACATAACTTTAAAAAAAAAAGAAAAGAAACGTTTTTTTTTCAAAATTAAATCTTAATCCGGATGGAGATTGATTCAGAAACCGAACCATATTTTAATATGACTAGGTGATTCTCTCATACTCATATACGGATATAAATTTTTGTAAAATAAAATTGCAATAATTAATTGATATTACTTTTAATTTTAAATCAGTTTATAATTTATATTAATGATATCATATTATTTTAATTAGACACATGATTTGGATATGTATCTAGTCAGTTTGATTGTTTCTTGGGGTCAACAATAAATTTAGTTATCAGTTGGATATACTGGATTGCATATATTTCTCTAAATTCAAGTATAACGTTTTGTATTTAAATATATTAAAATTTTGATTAATTTTCTTATATGCATTTATGTTGGTTATTGTCTTAGATATAAAAATATATATTAGTAAGGTTATGTGTAACTTAATATATCTATGCTTAAAAATGAAATTAAAAATAAGTTGAAGTGTATGATTCAAATTTACATAAATGAATATAGCGATATGAAGTTTCATACATATATATAAATTTTATAAAAGAATTAAATTTTAATAGTTGGTTAATGTTTTTTATTAATATTTTTAAGTAATCCTATAATTTATATGTATAAACTAAATATATTATTATTATAAAATTATATATATTTCTTGTAGTTAGATATTTGATTTTTTATATAAGTTGGATTAGTCGAGTCATTCATGTTGTGAATATATTGAGTTACATATATTCTTTCAAATTCAAACTGAAGTATAATTATTATTAAGTCTAATTCAATCAAATCAAATCAAATTAGTTTTGTTTATCACTTAATGTGCATGTATTTTCATAATATTTATCAAATTATACATACATAAGTATAACTAATAATTTTTTTTGAAGCTCATGAATGCATATCAATATTTACAACAAATTAAAAGTTTTATAAAAAATTTATGCCTTAGATGTATTGAAATGTAAACTGAAAATTATTTTTAAATAATCATAAAATCGAGAATTCAGATTTACTTGGGTATTTAGATTATATGTATATTAATTTTCATAAACATAAAATTAAAAAGAAATTAAATATTAAGAAGAAATATTTGTTTATAACGATACAACATAATATATCTACCTCATTAAAAGTATATAGTGTTATGCTATTTAAAAATATTTTGTAATTATTTCATCAAAAATGATTTACTGTTTAATATTATTTTTTGTTTGCTTTTAAATATCTTATAAAAGTAAGCACTAAAACAATTTTGTGATTTTCTTTTTGAAATCATATTATATAAATAAAATATAATGTATAGATATTTTAAATTTTTCTGTATATTATAAGATGTTATAGTCAACTAAACATTATGAACAATAAAGAAATTCTATAATACTAATTATAAATATCTTTAGTCAATGAAACATATATATTTATATTTCTATTATTTTGAAAATATATATTTATATTTTTTAAAATTATTTTTAAAGGAAATAAGATTTATTTTAATGTCAAAATTATCTTTTTGAACTCTTTTTTATAAGTCACATTATATATATTTTCATTTTCATCTAAGAAAATATAGATAGAAATAAAGTATTTTTATTAATTTGAAAGTATATTTTCTGTTATTTAAAAAATGTTTAAAGGAAATATTGTTATTTTGTGAACTTTCCTCATTAATGAAATCATATTACATATAGATATATTCTTGTTTTTAATTTCATTTTAAAAAATTTATTAAGGTTTCATTTTTATTATATATGTTATTTGGAAAAATTTAAAATGAAAACAAAAATAAATGTTAGTAATAATATTAAATATAATATTTTTAATTCATTAAGGATACCTGTATAATTTTATAACTAAAAATTAATTTGAGTGCGATAAATAGGAAACTCACTCAAATAATATTATAGAGATTTCAAATGGTACATAAACTGTGTATATAAAAAACAGAATACAAATTTAAATTAGCTAAAAAGATAAAAGGTTGATTTATAAGCTAATTTAAACAAAAAAAAGAATAATATAATTAATTAAATTTCAAACCAGAAGTCATACGGATCAAACCACCCATATTAAAATATGATTCATGGTTGATACTTTTTCAATAATAGAAAGTCCTAATCCTAAATTTAAACTCCAAAATTTTTCCTTTGCGACTTGGTAGACCATTTCTAGTTTGAAAACTGGACTTATAAATTTATATAAGTAAAAAATGAAGAATAATACCTCAAGGTCATCCACTTGAACTTTGGAAATAGGTAACACAAACTTGGTGCCAGCTTCGATAGCGCATTCAGGACTAAAACAGAGGCCAGATTTAATAACGCATGCATTACCCACCTTACATATATAGTAGACTCCTAAAAGGTCATTAGTGTTCTTTGATTTAGCGTACACTTCTATAGTTACATTGTTCATTTGTTTGCCTGTATACATAAAGTATTTTATCAAGAAAATATATTAGAAATTGTAAAAGAGAAAAGAGAGAGCTAAAACTTCGGAAGATCACAAAAAGTTACGTACTTGCATAACCAGATACAGTAATGTTTAGGTAGTTGTCTTCAGGTCCAACCGGGTTCGGAGAGATCTCTACACGACTGAAGTTACCATAATCGTATCCATTTTCTACAACAGTCGCAGAGATTGATTATTATTATTATTGGTTTTAACAAGGCCAAGATTGTTAGTAAACAAATCTACAGTACCTTTTCAAGGCTTGAATTGAAGAGTAGATTGTCAATAACGAAAAGAAAAGAAAAGAAAAAGCATGACTCTCAGATATATACTTACTATTGCAGTACCCGAAATCAACAGCGCTCAAAGCCTGTAAGAAGAGAAGTGATGCGAGAATAAGCAGAAGCTGGACGTAAGATGTAGCCATTAATGAGCTCGTCAATCTTCAATCAAGTCTGTGATGTATTATGATAATTCCATCAATGTCTACTATATTATAAATAGTCTAGCATATTTCCGTTTATTACTATTTTATTTATAGTCTATTAAAGACTGGCTAAATTGGTGGATCGGTTCAGACTTCATAAATGATATTGACAATATTCTACTATATTAATCTCCCACGTTATACCTACTACTTATTGTCAACAACTGTGTGCTAAATTAGTGTATCGGTCAGTAATATAATACTATATGATATTCTTATAATAATCATCTACGTTATTGCGAGGATAATAAAATATGAGCGTTTGGATCAGTCACGTTGAGTAGCCTCGGAGACATTACAGATTGAGATATTTCGCACGTCAGTCCAAATCCGTGCCAAAGTGGGGAAGCAAAATTAACCAAATCCACATTCAATCTCCTTAAACCTTTGACTTCTTTAATAAACCCTCTAGATTTAACTTTCTCATCAATTGCAAACGTTATTTTCATAGCATTTCCACAAATTCTCTGATTTCCATTTAACTGTGTTTTATAATTAACAACGATTTTAGGAAATCACGTTTAAAATGAATACCACCCAACGATTTTACGAAAGACAACCGAACCAAAGGAATGTGTGGTGCCAATGATTGCATAAAAAAACAAGTTGCGGCAAAAGATTAGGAATAGGGCTTGGGCGAGGGAGGGATGGGCGATTCTAGGGGTTCCTGAGATCAAAAGAACGAGCTTAAACAACTTCAAGCCCTGTTCAGATGCGAAAATACAAAACAATATCATTCTTTGTCTCCCTTCATCACAGTTTTGTTTGGCCAAAAACAAGAAAAAACAAAGAAATATTAGAGATTTTCCAATTGTTGTTGATTGGGCTGAGAAGTTGGTGTTTGTTGTGCCAATAACCATTTGTTTTATAAACATCCAGACTCCAGCCTTGTTTTCTCCACCTGCACAAAGAAAAATAAAATATTATGAGAGAGAAGAAATGGGAAACCCTTGCACCTGAGCCACCAAGAGTCGTCGCCGGAGTCACCACACGCTAGCTGAGAACCGCCGTGAACCGCCTTGAGTTGAGCTTAGTTTCGGATCGTTTAGTAAATCGACCATATCTCCCTAAACGTTGGGAATCTCGAGCATACAAAGCCGCCACCGTGTTCTCGACGAAGCCGTAGAAATCGAGAACACCATGATCCGACCTCAGACGAAGCCACATGCGCCTTCAGAATTTTCGTCGGAAATCGTCTCTGCAGCCGGACCACCGCCGGACTGCCACCGGACCACGGCCAGACCACCGACTCGCCGCCGCCGGGCCACCGTCTCTGCCGGTAAGCCGCCGGTGACCAGCCACCGGTGACTCGCCGACGACTCGGCCAACTCGTGTGAGTCGACTCGGTGAGTCAACTCGTTTGACTCGGTCAACGGTTGGTTTGACCAGTTTAAATTGATTTCGGTTTGGTTAGGGTAAACCGGTCGGTTAAAATCAATTAGATTTTGGTTAGGGTAAACTGGTTAATTAAATTGATTTAGTTTCGGTTAGTGTGAACTGGTCGGTCCAATTGAATTCGATTTCGGTTAAGGAAAAGAGGATGGTTTAAATCAATTTCAATTTGGATAAAGTTTGACCAGAGTTGACTTTGACGAGACGGGTTGACTTTTCCGTAGACTTTGACCAGATCCGTTTTATGCCGTTCGAAAGCCGTTTTAACTCGATTTTTTGTCCTGGTTTCAGATTTGGAGTCTATTTGAGCATCAGGAGTTCTAGATACCACTTTTCCACATTCCTAAGGTGAGGGCTACTCCGTTTAAATCCCGAACTAGTTTAGTACTGCTATTATGAAAAAAGTCTAGTTTCGAAACATGTTCTGCCTCTGTGAATCGAGTCTTGTGTGTTTATCTTTATTATTGATTGTTAAACCGGAAATAGGATAATAGAAGATTCAATGGTTGTGTGAGATGATTGATGTTAAGCAATGTTTTATATATGTATGTACATAGTTACGAGTAGGGACTAAGTGTGGGGCGTGAGTTCAGAGATGTCTGAGCTTCGACGCTACGGTGTGTATGGGCGTGAGTTCAGAGCTGTCTGAGCTTCGACGCTATGGTGTATGGGCGTGAGTTCAAAGACGTTTGAGCTTTGACGCTACTGTGTGGGGCGTGAGTTCAGAGACATCTGAGCTTCGACGCTACTGTGTGGGGCGTGGTATCGAGACGTTTGCATTCGCCGCTATGATGGGCGGGGGTACAGAGACAGACTGTACTAGCAACGCTACGAGTATATATATATATATATATCCTTATGAGGAAATGCGTGGTGCAGAGAATATCGATGTGCAATTAGCGCATTGATTGTAGTTGTCTAGTGCACTAGACATATTTTGATTTCTCTGTGCGGTGTATTAGGCACCATGTTTGTTACATGCTAGTGCTAGGCCTACATAGTCGTAGTGCTATGTACTGAGTTAGTGGTTTGAGGTGTAGCACCCCATACCTCACTGAGAAACTCTCCTGTTGCTCACGCCTCCTTCTTTTCCCCCTTTCAGGTGAGACCGATGAGCAAGAGTAATTATAACGGACCGGTGCTAACGGGATTTTACGTTTCGTACTTTTGGTTTCAGAAGTTTGGACTTTTATCGCTATTGGTCCTTTACTGCTATTAAGATTTTCTCACGTGTATTTAAATCAAATTTTAGAAGTTATTTTAATTACTGGATTTCCGACGTGGACTTTGACTTTACAACATTTGGCAATGGAGATTTTAGTTACTATCATATTATTATTTTACTATTATTGGTTTCAAAGTGACGGCTGTCACAATTTTGGTATCAGAGCGTGGTTCCATCCCGGCTCCGATCCGGGATGGAGATTCGTGGAGACTTGGGTTTTAACTCAGATTTTAAATCAGTTTTAAATGAGTTTCAAAATATTTTGGGATTTGGGAATTTTGAAAATAAAAACCAATAGCACCCTTCTGCTCATCTAACCCAATTGTCTCTTTTTGTTGATGAGTAAAGTCATCGTCATCCGTTTGCTAGCTAACAGGTTTCCAGCCAGAGGTTCAGGTTACGAATGGATGATGTTAGAGTTTGTCAGATTGCTGAGGCGTTTATCAGTTCCAATGGTCGTGTTCGGAGATTGTCTGTGGACGTGTGTCGTTTCTGCCACCCACCTTTAAGCTATCATTCCACGAGTTTTGTTTCAGGAGTTGGTGTGATATGAGATATGAGATATGAGATATGAGATATGAGATATGAGATGTAAGCCATTGGTTGGCATGTGTTATGTTGTGTATGAGTATATGGATTATTCAAAGTTATGTTTGGTTTGTAAACTCATGGGGATTGCTTTTGAAGTAGGGGTGCGGCAGCTTGCTTTGTGTTGATATTGGAGTTTCACTTGATGTTGTTGCCAGTTTTTGGGCTGTGTTGATCGTTTCGGAGATGCGTCAGTTTGGACAACTGACATTTGGGAGCTATTTGTATTCATCAAGTTGTACCAGTTATGCTTGGAGGAGTTAGTTATTCGGAGATGGAGTTGACCTTCTGCGATGTTATTCTTGGGATGCATTGGTTATCACGACATAAATTAGTATCAGATTGACTGTATTTCTGGAGCAGAGGAGATTTTTATAGCCGCCATTCTACATGTGAGGAATTCTTCGATGTAAGATCATATGGATATTTGAGACCATTTTTGATGGTTAAGGACGATGGAAAGCATGAGCTGCAGGACTTCTAGTTATAGAGTATGAGGATGTATTTAAGATCTTTGGAAGGGTCATCTCCAAGCATAGGAGACGCTTTGGCGATTGAAATGGAATGAAGGACGCCACCGGTTTCACGAGTTTAGTACAGATTAGCGCCTGCAGAGATGGTCCAGCTAAAGGGGCAAATGAGAGTTTCATTAAAAAATGTTTTTGTCAGACCATGTATTTCACTAGGGGTGCCACTAGTTTTGCTGCGACGACAAAGAGATGGGAGTTTCAGATTTGGTATCGATTACAGAGTTTTGAATAAAGTGATCATCAAGAAAAAACATCCGCTTCTGCTCTTTGATGAATGGTTGGGTTAGCTGCTGGAAGGCTCATTGTTTTCGAGGATTTCCTTGGCATCAGATTACCACAAGATTATTATAGCTGAGGAGTATGTACGGAATACGGATTTACGTATCCGCGATGGATATAGTGAGTTTGTAGTGATACTATTTGGGGCTATGAATAAACTATTTTGCGAGCACTTGGATAAGTGCGTGATTGTATTCATCGAACACCCTGGATATTGTTGGAATAGGGAGAAGTAAGATGAGCATAGGGAGATTTTGTATTTAATACAAGAAGGTCAGATCATTTCATAAGCAGCGAACCAGATGAAGATTATAATATAGAGCATTTTGGATTGGAAGTTAAGAGATTAAGTGGAGAGAGCTACCGAAAGAAACCAGTCTGAGTTATCGAGTTGTCTCTGTTACCATCACCGTCATAATTGGAAGTGTATTAAGATTTAGGTGTGGTCAGTTGGAATATATTTCGAGGCCAATTATTCAATGCATGATATGGAGTTAAGAGCGATTGCATCGGCTTTAGAGTTTGGAGATCATCATTGTATGGAAAGGAAGTTCAGATTTTCTAGGATCATCAGAGTGAATTTTATCTTCATTTATCAAAACTTGTATTTGAGGCAGTGCAGTTGGATTGAATTTGGAGCAAAGACATTTTGGATATCATCTGTCATTTGGTAAGGTCAACCAGATGACAAATTCTTTATGAGGAGTGATGTTTTGGGAATCAAAAAGGATTAAAAACTTGTTGGAACACTTACTAGTCTCAAGTTGTGTGAGATTGTTGTAGAGTGATCACATCAGACCTTGAGGCTTTGGAGCAGGCGGATTTGCTATGGAGGATACGTTAAGCTCATAAGCTCGTGAAAACTATCATTCGAGTATGGAGAAGGCACAATATGAGACTCTTTTTGGATAGGCATCATTGTACAC